TTCCAGGTATCCAAGGTTTTTTTTTAGTATTTTCCAGATATCTATGCACTGAAGTAGCACAAAAAAGTATTTAATTGAAGGAAAAAATTAGTACGTATTTAATGTTTTACTACATTTTTTTTATGTCAGGGTAGGAAGGATTTCTACTTACTTGGTTCTCATGACCCAAATGTGTTGTATTTTCACTTAGATGTGTATTCTAACTCTGTCATGAGTGAAAAATAATTGAGCCGAAACGGCTCATGGCATTGGAGGATAAACATGTGGGTGTGTCTCCTGTGTTTGCAAAAATGAAGCCAAGAGACTTATCCTAAAAGCTTAATTTGTAAAATCACTCCAATTAGCTTAGACAAGTTCTGGTTCATATTTCAGTGAAGTATAAAGTAGAGCTTACTTAGAGAGGGCAGGCCGTTTCACCTTATCTGTTATTCACCACACACCCTGCTTTTCCAAGGATGTAGCAAAATTTCATGTTTCCTGTCAACCGCTCGGGAATTCAAGCCCTGTCATTTTGAATGTTAGTGTTCAGCTACAGAATTTAAAACTATATTTTTATCCCCTCATTTCATTATCTTACTTATCTGATATACGGCACTTTCAACAGTAACTTACCTTTTCTCCTGCTGGAAAATGAGAAATGTAACAGTTCCTGCTGTACAGTGGAGTTTGATAAAGACATCAACTGAAGTACCATGACACTAGGCATGCACTAACAGCACTGCCTTGCAAAGGTTAATAATAGCTAAAAAGAGTAGCCTTTTCACTTTTACTTTAATATGCAAACAGCTGTTGCAGTCTCAAAGAGGAAGTAAAAAAAGAAGAGGTTAGATTGTCTGGAAGGGCTGTTATTTATGTGGTGATACTATTCTACATGTATGTGTTGAGGAGTCATTGCTTTGTCTACCAATGTCCCTGATATTTCAAAAACCATTTTTGCAGTCACTGGATAATTACAAACTGGCTATCACCTTCAGTGACACCCAGACTGTGACCTCAAAAAGCACGTTGGTAAGCAGGAGGGGATGTTCAAGTTTACATAGCATCCTTGAACAATCAAATGGCAAGAATCAGTATCAGAATATGTAAGCTCTGCAATGAATTAGGGAAATCACCTCATAGTAACTATTTTACTTAACTGGGGTCTACCAACTCCGTTATGGTTATGAGATACATTAGTCTGTCCTACTATATAGGACAGCTTGCTGAGATGTATTAAACACAACCTTACATTATCTGGATTGAACACAGCCAGCAGTGTAGCCCTGGGCTGAGGACTGCATTCACATTCTTAGGGCTGCACAATAAACTTATTTATTCTAAACTACAAAATAAAACCGGAGTCCAATGAGATTCCAGTTCTCCACCATCTCTTCTTTTTGCGAGTCACTAGCAGGATGACAGGGGTGTAGGCACTCTTCTACACCCAAATCTTAAGACACTTTATCTTCCTGAAAAAAGTGCAAGCAGTGCTTACGCTACTCACTGACAAGTCAAGGAAAGCAGGAAAAAAAACACAATAAAACCAAGGTATTTTATTAAAAAAATAGAATTGTGAATAGCATTGTAATAAATAATTTTCACCTGTGTATGACCCGAGAAAGAAGATATGCACCTAACAAAACACAACATAGCGATAACTTAAGAAATGGGGTACAGGAGCATGTTTCTTCAGCGTTTCTGAAGTAATCACGTGTGCACATGTTTTACGTCCTAGAAGATTTTCTTCCTTCTGTTCTCAAGATGTACAAAAAGGCTATGCAAAACTACAGCTTTTCTTCCCAAATGTCCAGAGTTGTATTATCCCCAAACCGTATATCACAAGAGTAATAGGCAGTAACCAAGTACTGCCAGCTATATCACAAGGAAATTTTATCCCCAAAATGCTTTTCAAAGAAAGAGATCGAGCAGTTCAGTATTATCTAATTGCCAAACTATAGCTGCCAAGAGGGTTACAGCATCTATTTCAGACTTAGCTGAGAGTATCTGCTATTTTAAGGACTGAAAATGCCCTGTATGTGTGGCATCTTCTCTCATTGCACCATTATCTTTTAAAAGGATCAAAGTATTGAAAAAATTCCTCAAAAGCAAGAACACAAAATCTCTGCAGGAAACTGAGCGCTCAGGTAGGGAAGTAAAAAAATGTCCAGAAAAAGACTATCAAATTGATGCTGGCCATAGACCTAAAGTGCTTTACCTTAAATATATTTTCAATGCGTCTTTGAAATACACATTTGCCTAAATCTCAGAAAGTAGAAACTTGGATATTTAAATAAACATCTCAATATCTAGTCACATATATAAAAGCCTGAATCCATGGACTGTTTATGCTATAATAATTATATTAACTTCATTGCATTTTTCCTGAATTACAACAATATAGAAGATTGCCACCACACAATAGAAACAAAAAATTAATATCCCCCATAACAGATAGAACACAGAACATCTGAGCTGTCAATTCTTCACCAAAGGGGAAAAGATCTTCCCCAGCTTTCTCTAGGTCTTCTCAATTTGCATATCTGTAAAAGGAAGAATTATATGAAAAATAATTATAGAAGAATTATATGAAAAAATAATTATAGAAGAATTATATGAAAAAAATTATCAAACAACAAAATGCTGATGTGACAGAATACTTCATGACTTTGGGCTTTTTTCCTAGAGTTTAGAGGTACCAAAAAAAATAAAGATCTAAAATAAAATTAATTAAAAAATCAAGCAGAAAAAGATGATGATCATGGGAGGAAGCAGAGTGGTAGTTCAAACGCACTTGTGTGAAGTGCTTTTCAGCAAATACAGAGAAAATGCTGTTGGTTAGGTCCTCCTTTCTTTTAAAATCTTTTAAAAAGTCTTTCAAACACATTCAATGCTTTATCTGCCACTATCCCCAGCAGCATATCCCCAGGCCCTAATTTTTTGACGTGGAGGTCTATACCTGCAGGACCAGCAGACTTACCTGTAAGTTTACTGAAGTAACGTGTAGCAGGGAGGGATTTGGGATGTAATTAATGCAGGTGCTTTAGAAGTCAGCAAGAATGTGAAAGAAAAGCCGCAGGAATCTCACCCTCCTGTTCCTTATCACAGGATATTTAAGAGATTTCAGAAATTTTGTCATATACTTTCTTGCTTTGCTGAGACAATCTCACAGCCTGAGACTTGCTCAAGTGGCCATGATGGGTTACTGTCTCCTTACCCATTGCCATCACCACCCCTACAGTTGTGTGTGCACAACTGTTTCTACAGCACAAGTGTGAGCTGGAAAAAAAGACTAATTTTGGTTGTTCTGTATCTCCACTTTACATTTTACTTTGTATGTCTTTTCTTCCTATTTTAAAAACCAGATTAGTTATTTGATGTTACAAACAGTACATAGTGAGTTGTCATGGCAAGTCTGTAAGACAGAGAATGGGAGGCTGTACTTGTCTTGAAGGCTCTGTCTGTTGAAACAAGGGGCTAAATTAATCAGCCATGAATCAAGACTCCAATGACCATGGATGATTTATGCTGCCTGCAATTTGCTCCTATTTTCCCTTTATTATTTATACTTACATTTCAGCTCTCTGTCTTCAATAGAAGCATCTCTGCGGTGATGTCTATCCTCGTCTTTTGATAGCTCTTTAAGCAAATGACATACATATAGGTAACTGAGCATAGCTTAAACTTTTCAAATAGTGAAAATCTTTGCTAAAAACTGCCATCTCAGGCCACACAGGAACTAAATTACTTAAATGCAGACCAGGAGAAGAGATTAAATCCAAATGCTGAGTTCATTTGGGCAAATATTCTAAAGTGAGGTTTTCTTAGGAAAACCCCCCTCTGCCAGTCAGAACTAATTTTCACATAGCAGTTTAATTTGAGATGGTCTCCAAATTAAAACATACAGCAAATTAAAAATAAATTAACCAATAGCCATCATGAGAGGCTGCAAGAAGATTTTAATGTCTTCTGTCCTGCTGTAAATATTAACTCTCTTCACGCTTTCCTTCATTTCTAACTGTCATGGTGGTATTGGCCTTTCACTGAGCTTTGCTCATAGCAAATAGCAGAAGTATCACAACAGTAGGAAAAAGAAACGGTTAGGAAAAACTAAAGCTTCTTCCTGTATTTCTCTCAAAGGGCCAACAAGTCTCAACAAGTCACAAAGACCCTCAAATGCATACTATAATACTGGAGAAAACACATGGTTCAAATTGCAGCACAGAGTCTGCACATCAGGATGTGATACCATCCTGAGGTGTATGTTCCAGGGTGCACGTCCCATCCTACCACAGACTTTTCAAAACACAGCATTCTGCCCACTCTTCTGCATATCAGGACTGCATCTGCTCCTGGAACAAGTACGGTTTTGTGTCACGAATTCCTTACAAAAAGTTGACATAGTAATGAAAAGTCATGCTTCAGTTGTAATTTATGGTTGTTACATAAATGAAAAGTAGAAAGCAAAATCAAAGCTGAATTTAAATCTCTGTTTGGTTGTCGCCATTACAAAGTAAATTCTCAAGGTATTATTTCCACAATAATCCCATTGAGCTAGATTCATGCCATATGTACATACTTGCTATTGATGAACTTGCCACAGGTGTTCTGTTGTCCTTATTTGCTCTAGCTGAAAGAAAATAAGAGAAAAAAAATAAAAAAAGGAAAATAGATTAAATAGGGCACACTTAGCATAGTGTAATCATTAGTTCTCAAAACCCTACATTTCTACAAAGACTTGAAAACAAATTCCTCAGTGCCCCCAGCCAGCCTTTACAACTTCCTTTCCATGCTCATAAGCAAGAACTCCATTAATACTAAATAATAACATCGCCTGAAAATACTTGTCAAATGATTCTCCATAGCATATTTTTACACAGAATTTGAATAGACCAGAGGGAACAAGAAGAGGATCACCTTCTCACTGCTTTTTGAGGGGAAAAAAAGCCCATGTTCTATGGATGTTCCATTCTGAAAGGATCACTTGTCTGGTCATCTAGGACAGCTTGGGTTTTAAAGCAGAAGCTTGTTGCTACTACTTTAGATTCCGAGTCAACTTGCAACTTACCACACATGCATATGCATGTGCCTATAGTTTAATTTCTATTTAAAAAAATATATATAACATACTCATGATGATCATATACATTATGACATGTATATACACTATCATGTATACACAGAAACAGTACACTCAGGCAACCTAGGAAACTTCTGACCTTCACTGAAATCCCCAGTGGGAATCTTTGGAGAAGTCAAGGATTTTGCTGTACCTTCCACTTTCATGTTCTGCTTCTATTATCATGTTCTAGGATGAGTATATTCTTCTACATGCAGGGTTACCTGCAGGCCTTCTGCAGCCTGTTAGCATCATCTGCAAACCTGTCAGGTTATGAACACTTCTCCCAGGAAATACTTCCAAAGCATCGGTACAGAAATGAGTTTGTGACCAAAACTCTGAATATCCACACTTAGTCCTATCTTGTATTTATCTTATGGAACTTGAAGAGGTTGCTTATAGATAGTTTTATGTAATTTCCAGGCAGAAATTAGGGCTGTTTCTAATTTTCACTGTGGAAAAAGAGTTAGCAGACAAGAAAACTAACAGTTTTGCTATAGCACTTCAGGAAGACTACCTCTCTTAGTGCAGAGGCTTTTGAGACACCACTTGACAAGACAGTACAACTAGCTTTGCATTATTAGATCCAGCTGAGTTCATGCTAACTACACATTTACATCTCCTATAAAATTCAAGAATTTCAAGAAAACCATTTATCCAGCTATCTTGTTCATGTTTTTGGAGCATTTCTGGTAGTAATGTACAGAGCCACATCAGTATGATATTATAATGCTAGAAGTACTGTATCGGTTTCAATGCCTCTTGTTCTTTTTCTCTGCAGACAACTTGACAAAAAAAAATCCAAGAAGATCTTTGGTAAAAAAAAGAAGTAGCTATGTATCCACTAAAACAATCCACAAATTGATCACACAGAGGAAGAATTCTGGTGAAAATCATAATATTCAGCAAAAACATTTTCTTTTTGATATTTTCAAATGAGTCCTATGGATGCTCTGAGATCTTTATTGCATTTGTTAAAATAAAGAGCAAAAAATACCCTGAATAGAAAATCGTGAAACACACCTTCCTTAACTTCAAGAGGAAGTTTTTTTAACCCACAACCAAATAATGAAAGAAAAAAAAAAGTAACAGTACTTCTTTCAGGTTAAGCAACAAGTTTGAAACACTTTTTTCTTTATTTTGGGAACTAACTATATTCTTTTCATACTCAGATAGCCTAAAAATTATTTCTCCAAGCTTTTTCTTTGGCTAGCTAGCATGTGAAAACAAATTATTGACAATGTTTTAGCTTTTCAATATACTGTGACACTGAAAATGTCTAATTCAAGACAGTGTAGTGAACTGAAAAAGCTCAAAATTTAACAAGGAAATTAATCAAGTGGTATGAAGCCTGAGTAGGAATATTCCCTGTTATGAAAAAAAATCTTTCATGCTTAACACCTTGGACATAGAGCTTCATATGCAGTCCACAGTTTTTATGGTGTTTTAACCAGAATAAGGAAATACATAGAGTTCATAACAACTAGATCACTTAAAACCCCACACTTCAGTGAAATTTTTCAGACAATGCAGGAAAAAAACCTAAAAAAAATCTCAAGTAACTTGTCTGCCACCAGAATTCTGCCCCCAGTCAAAAGGGAGGACATAGGGCAGGAAACTTTCATTTCCAGTAGGTGAGTAAGCTGTGCTAAGGTGTTTGAACAGATTAGACACTAATCTTACTGCTCTACATCATTATCTATAAGAAAAATTAGTAGACATGCACAGTTTGTGAGTGGCTGATAACCTGTTCCAGTCTGCTAACATGTATTTAGTTAAGTCCAGTGAAGGAAGAGCAATAAATGTGGTAAAAAATTTAGTTACCTCAGGACGAAAGATCCAAGACAGACTTTTTTTGCCTCATTTCACCTCTGCAAGGATGAATTAATAGAAGAGACTGATAATAACTGAGATATTCTAAAATAAATAATTTGAATACCTTTTCTTACACAGATAATAAATAGAAGCACTGATCCAATGAAAACAGTCATGATGAGAGTTGCTCCAACAAAGCGTCTGCTCTGAGACCATAGAATGTCATCAGCTGAATCTTTGGGAAAAACAAATGGGGGATACGACATTAACATAATTACATAAGCTCCTCACCATATTATTGTTATTGTGAGCAGTTCAGTCATGATAACTGCATTACAGATTGTGTCTAAGGTCAGGTGCTGATGGTGCACTAGACCACATCTTGCTCCAAAAAAGGAAAAAAAAAGTTGGAACATATTAATATTTATCCTTGTTCCCTGCATTCCATGTGATAGTGCCTTTGATTCTCAGCACAAGTCCTGCTTGTCACCAAGGTATAAAGTGTTCTATCTAGCTTAGTTTCTCATCAGGACTACAGGAAAAAATACTAATGGAGAAGGAGAACAGAATCCCTTTCATCTGGAAAAGCTCTGAATGCAAAGGATAATTGGTCTCCTTGAATCCCAGAGGCTTTTCTCATGAAAATCAAATTTGTCCTTGGAAGAATGACTTGGTCTTCTCCCTCTCACCTGCCTGTTTCCAACCCTTGTCAGGTCCCAAAAGTGTGCCAACACAGGCATTTTTAAAAGTAGGTGTGGAACAGGACCGGGGATATGACCTGACCAAGTAACACTCTGATAAACAGAAACATTATTTTTGAGTTGTATCAGGTCTCCAGTCTGTGTGAAAGCATATCAGGCTACAATGCAGAGGGGTAACCAAAAGCAAAAGCAGTAGGGGTGCTGCCTAGTTAAAAGGTCTAATGAAAAATTGTATTGGTCTTCTCCATTCATGCATTTTCCTTCAATCTGTATACAATTAGTCAAATTTAAATATGCTCAAACAAAGACTGTAGTGGCAGGAAAAGACCATACTGTTCAAATTCATTTGACAGTAACCATCAGCAAAGTAGAATATTCTTGGAAGATGTATTTAATTTATATGGGAGGGTTTCATTTCTAGCCTCTGAGCTATATGACTTTCAAATAATGGAACTTTTCCAACATTTAGACTCAATTTTCACACAACTGCAGGTCATGCAAAATTCTTATCCTTGAATTCTGTCCACACATGCATGATGCACATGTTAGCATGGTGGAAGGGTACATTAATAACAAAACTTAACAACACAGGTATTTCTTTTTAGCCCTTTCAAAATCAGATAGGAAAGATAAACAAATCATGGCTGATTCGGCTTGGAAAAAGTTACATAGTACCTTGAGGTGTATTAGCATAAATGAAATTTAGAAATGTTACCGGCTATGTGTAAAATGGCAGATGTGTTTTCTTGCAGCTCTTTATTCCAGAATATACAGTAAAAAATCTCATCAATTCTACTTTTGATTGTAAGGGTACTTGTCACATTATACAACTGGTCACTTCCAATTTCACTACTTGTATTTGCCTTATCAGTCAAATCTTCGTAATCTTTGTTTTGCCATATCACTTCAGCTTGTGGATATCCTTCTGACTGGCATGTCAACGTCCATTCATTGTGCCCTCCACACACCACTCTTTTGGTTATAGTTCTGTAAGGAGCTAAACAAATGGAAGAAGATGATTACTAGTAGGAAGCTAGATATAGAACAGCATATATTAAACACAAGACACCGTTTGTTTTTTTGCCAAGCTCCTGGGGTCAAGTTTCAACTTGGATTTTGCAAATAATACTCTTGACAAGAAAATTAAAGATCACTGTTGTGTTTCTCCATAGTAACTGGAGACACAGGATTTATTAAAATTTTGATGGTGTTGAGAAAAGTGCAACTCGCTTTGTGGTCTTTATAGTGTCTAAATGATTTCACGACACCATTCCTCGTAGGACATTTTGAGAAATAAAGGACAGAACATGGGTTCAACCTAGACAGAAATACAGAGTTACACATCTGCAAAAGGACCATGAGACAGCTCCTGTCCCTGCAGAGATTTCCTTAAAAGCTAATCCAGACATGTCTTACTTCAGAGTCTCCTCTGAAGTCTTTTAACAGTATCAGACAGTATTGAACATCTGCTAGTACTGCACTCACCGTTAACTTTCAGATGGATTGTCTTGTAGTCAGCTCCCCCGTAGCCAATAATACAGCGGTAAAACCCTGCATCTCTGAGCTTCACGTCACTGATTTGAAGGAGAGACTGTCCCAAGCTCAGATTCTCTTTCAACAATTTTATTCTCCCCTTAAAGTCACTGTGCTGACTTTCAAAGTCTTCCTCTCCTTTGAGAAGTAAATAAACCTGCTTCTTTAACTCATCCTTCTTCTCCCACCTGACATTTAAATCTCTAAACTTTAATTTCCCATTCACTGGAAATGTGCATTCCATGGTCACATTGTTCCCATGTTCCACAGTGTAGAGTGACCGAGGAGCTTCGACAGTGAATAAAGCTGAAAAATAAAATTTGGAAGAAAACTTTATTTTCCAGTAAGCCTAATCTTTGAAGTCATGTTTTGCCCTATCCATAGGAGATTTAAAAGACAGAAGTATCTGCTCTCTCATGAAAAGTCAAACATTTTGGCATGCACTTGCCCAAGTTCAGGACAATCTGGGCTACTTATAGCTGCCAACACCTGCTTTGCACACACACAGTGTGATGCTGTACTAAAAACGAGCTGAATGTGTGCGCACAGCCCCTCAGCTGTTGCTTTCGAACACTGCCATGGTAACAGGCTAGTGCCTTGGATGGCAATATTATGTTTATGTAAATATCAGTTGTTAAACACAATGTTAGGTTAACACACAATGTTAAAGACCACACAACTCCAAGGTTTGACAGTGCTAATAAAACCTATGTAACGCAAATGGTAACTTGTCTGAAATGGTGTCTATGCTGGAACACTGACAGGGATTTCAATATCAATATTTCAATGTGCCCATATCAAAGCACATATTGGTAATTTAATATAAAACCATGCTAAGATCTTTTTAGTTAAAACATTAAGGAAAACCCCCAAATGCTAGCACCTGAAGGAAAACTGAGGGATTAACTTTTCTGTGCTTATACATGGGAAGAAAAGATACTTAAAGAGTTCTACTGCTTCTTATGACTCAGCTTCTTACCATTTAAGAAGTGCCAGTAGAATAAAAATATATACAAAAGCAAAGGCCTTTCCATGGTGTAGATTGAACCTAAAATGACAAAATAATAGACAAATGTAAAAACTGCTCATTTTCTAACTTGTACTGTAAAATATACTTTATAGTCTGTTGACATAAAAAGCAGGCAGAAGACACTGAATTGGGCTGTACTGAAAACAGGACAAAATTGCACCCAGCAGATAATCACACAGAAAGCTTGGGTCCAAGAAGAGATTCTTATTTTATTTGCTGTCCTTGGTTATGGCAAAATACATGCTGTATCACTATCTGTCAATTATAAGTAAGTAGTCAAAAATACCCAGTTATTCCCCTAACTGTAGCAGGGAGTGTTGCTTCTACTAGGAAGCGAATGAAGGAATTTTCTGTATGCATTCAGTGGAGGAAATAGAACTTAGTTCTTCCCCGTTTGCCTTCCTTTAACAGACTCTAAGCACACGCTGTTTTTTTACCCCGGTCTCACAGTACTTATCACAAGGCTCAGAAAGTTACATGTATTGTGAAAAGAATTCAGGAGGTAGTTAATCCCTTAACAAGCATTTACACAATAGTGCCTTTGTAAAACAGTGACAAGACCAGTTAGCCTACAAGCAAAATCTATTTCTTGAATTTCTGCTGCTTTACCTCTGTACATGTAAATTACTTCTATTTTCTGTCAGAAGTTTTTCCCCTCTTTACTGACATTGGTCTTATGCTTCTACACAACACTTTAACATTATGAAACACTTATCAATGTCAGTTCACACATCTAACCTTCACACACCCACTGCTTTTGGTAAGTGTGTATTTTAAGTCAGAACAATACTAGTACCCAGTGCTACCATAATTTTTCAAATGACTGTCAAGAAAATTTCAAACTCACTGTAATGGAAATCTTTCATGAGTACAGAATACCACAGAATTTTATCTACATTATGTCCTCATTTTGGATATACAAACAGCCACGAAAGTAAGGAAATATTGCCTTCAACTGTTTTCCAGTGGTAGTTTCAGAATTTGCATCAGAAAGTAGACAACTGTAATATCCATCACACTTCCTAACGGACAAAATTCTATCTGGACCAAGACTCTTAACCATTTTTTATAAGATATTTTTTCCTTCTTTCTCTGGTTGTCTACTCTTAGATAATAGCAAAGCACCAATATTGTCCTGAATCATAAGACACACATGCCTATACAGTGTTGTGGCTTAAGGGAATTAAATTCACACGAATTTGATCCAAGCTACTTCTTTTCCTCAAATTGGTGCTTCATGATCCCAATAGCTAGTTTGCAGAAGGCAATACGTATGGAGCTGAAAAAGGGAGTCAATCTAATACATTGTTAGGCAGGCATGAGCAGTTAAAAGAGCACGTTCTGCTAACAGGGACAGGAAAATACAGGTAAGATTCTCAGGGTGAAAGAACTGATTCACTGATAAATCCTAGGCTTTGTAATGTGGCTAGGTACCAAATGAATCTCTTAGCAACAAGTGATGCTTCTGAAAGCACTAGCAAATTGCTGCCTAATCTTTTGGGTACCCAGGAGTTTTTAGTGATGTGTAGGCATCAGAATGCCTCCATCATGATGCTACTGCTTGAGGAACAAGCAGTTCAGACCACCAGCCGAGCTCCAAAGTAAAGCTTCTCAAACAAGATAAAGGCATGCCTATCTCACAAGTGTGCCATGATCACACTTTCTCTAGAGACAAGCCTGCAGAAGAGCAAGCCACTGAGACTGATGGGTATCGGTGTGGCAGAATGACCAGAGTTGTAGCACACTCAGATCCACAATACTTTTTTTTTTTTTAAAGTAGGGTCTGTAGCCGAGAGAGTGCTCAGAACAAACAGCATGTGCACTACAGTCATGATACTGACAGATACCCATACCCATGCATCCAACCCACATCCACCTTTTTGTCAGGAAATCTGAATGTTAGCGTGAACTCCAGGAGAGGTGTTGTTATAAACTTCTGGAAGATGGATGACAACAAGTTAGCTTTTGTGGTTCTAAGACCCATATTTATTTCCTGAATTTGCGGAACTTTAATTTGCACGTTTTCTCCTACTGTAGAGAAAAGCAAGCCGTATAACACACAAAAGAAGTATGACCAATACTTACAAATTTCCTCAAGCCTGTGAAAGTCTGCTGCTGTACTCAATTTTTTCACTTTCAGAGAGAACAAAAAGTAGGTCCAGGTCAAATCCAGATGTGCATGAAAAAGACCACTGCAATAACCATTAGAGAACCTTCTCCTGTTTCATTCTGAGCAGAAGGATCCTCTGACTGGATTTGTTGAAGCAGTTTGAGACCTTGATGCCAATCAAATATCTTTACCGAACCTGTGATCTTCTTGCTGTTTTTCTCACAAAACCTACCACAATGCCTCTTCTCTCCTCCCGCCAGCTTCCAACATCTATGGCAAACAGTTTTATAGAAGCAAAAAGATATTCACTGTGCAAAATGCTCTTCGGGATTGCTGCTGTATGTTTCCCTCACAATCACATGAAGAAGACAAGAAAAACAGAACTATTTACCAAAAGACTTCTTGTGACAGAACTTAAAAGTTGATGTAACTCCACCTACTTCTTCAGGAAACTTCCCCATTATTGGAAAATTCCCCACTAGGGAAAATTGTCTATTGCTAACAGTAGTTCAGAGACAGAAATGTTGGGAAAACTAGTACATAAAATACCACAGGCATTTTAAGAAATATATGATCTGATCAAAGCTATGTTAACAGTAGCAACAGGCGTTGGAACACCAGCTGCAGGAAGTCATCCATCTAAACAAACACAGAGTCCCTACAGTATTAATCTCAAGCAGTGTCAAAGAGCTCCTCACAATGACTAGAAATTTCTACACAACTTACTCATGTCTGTAAAGGTCATAAATAGGAATAATGGGAAGAGCATTGCCTACCCTCTTCTGGTAAGGACAGATATTCTCTCGCCAAGATTTGAGCACAATAAAGATTCCTTGCCTTGTTACTGTGTAGTGAAAGAAGAGTTGTTAACCCTGTGCGTTAGCTTAGAAAAAAATACAGAGCACTGTCATTTTAATTTTCTTGGTTCTAGAAGTCATTTCAAGAATACAGAAAAAATCCCCAAGTATTAGAAGCCAAAGGATGTACTCACCTTGTGGACTGTAGTGGGAGAACCTGATCAACAGCATAAAATACAAATTTAAATATATGTTTCAATGTAAGTTCATCCACTTAAGTTGTCTTAGCATATCTCAAGAAAGGGTTGAGATTGTCAGAAGAGTTAAAATACTGTGAAATGACCACTTAAAAGTCTCCAGCATTTTCTTCTTTCCACTTGACAGCCCCCTCACAGTATCTGTCATAAAGGCAAAAACATATTACACACAAAACTAGTTAGAGTTACCTTGATGTGTGAGACGAACATGGAAACAGTGATATATAAAATAGCTCAATGTAACATTTAGGTTCTGGCAACCTCAAACTGCCGTAAGAGGCTGAGGTGGTGGATTTCCGCAATAGGTGAGATTGGTGAATATTAATTTCCATTGATTTCTTTGTGCTTAAAAATAGGCTTCATGATATTTTCTCAGAAAAAAAAAAAAAGCACAATAAAAAAAGAAACTGAAACACATTTGTAAAACACTGTGAGACCACAGAAGCTGCTGATGTAGCGAGCTTTCAATGTCAGGAATTTAGTTTCCGCTTTTTCATCGCTTGCCTTGAGGTCATAGGTTTGCCTTTTCCATATAAGTATTTAGTAGCAAATAAACACCAGGACAGGTGGGGCGGGTTTTGTTTAAATTTTATTGTGTATACACACACTCCTATATACACACACAAATACATCTCCCTCCACTCAAACACGTTTTACGGGACAGTTCTATACTGTGGTTCCCTGGCTTTAAGGGTTTTTTTTACCTGTTCTGCAACAAACTTCCCAGACACCTCTGTCAGTCCAGCCTGTCACCGGGCATTCCGCGCAGAACAGATGTCCTCGGGGAGAAGGCGCCGGGGAAGGCTCCTGCGGCCGCGTGGAGGGAGATGCGGTGCCGGCCCGAAAACCCCTTCCCCGTGCTCCCAGCCCGCGTTTCCCAACGCTTCAGCCTGACCCAACAGGCAGCGCCCGGGCGATCTGTCCGTTCCCGAGAGCCGCGGCTGCAGAAAGCAAAACCAAAAGCGGCACCAACGCAGCTCCCCCCTGCTCCCCTGCTCGGGAAGAGATGAGCTGGCGGCTCATCGCTCAGGCAGCCTGGCTGCTTGCCCTTTTTTATCTTTCTCTTTTAACGTGGCGAAATCGTGTTCTTCATTCCCCAAACGGTTGGCTTGCATGATTACATCTACTTCAGTGAAGTCTGGTGTCAAAGGACTGGAAATGTGGCTGATCCAAGCATCCCGGATAGCAGTAAAGCCCTGGAGCTATGACCTGCTTCTCCACAGACAAAGAAGCAATCCACCTTTATTTAAATAGCTCTGTTCCCTGCCACTTAAAGATCCGGCTGAGGGATAATTTAAAAACCTGGTAATACAATCTGGGAATACATCGCAGTACATAGTTTCTTCGCTGTGATAATATTTCCTATGTTACAAAACATAACCCTAACAAGATCTCTGCCATAACTTTCCCAAAAGAAAGTAACCCTGAAATAACAATATTACTCAGGATATTACCAAAGAGTCAAGAAGCCATTGTGAGAACAGTTTACTTGTGAGTGTATTTACAGAGTGGGATATAAAACAAAAGCAAATGCATAAACTGTGGCAACATGCAGGTGGCAGATATGTACTGAAGAAGGGGAAGGAAACCCAAACCCCTATGCTCTCTCTGTGCTCCAAGTATGTGGTACTGCCACCTGCAATATGTTGCTGATAGTTTTATGGGCCATAGGCCAGCAGGTGGTTGAGAAGCTACCAGAATCCCTACAGGGAAGCCATCAGGTTTTCTGTTGATACAAAATGTTGCTGTGGAGGCGTTTGACAAAGATCAGTTTAGTTGGGTTCAGATATTTCAAAACCATACAACATGAGGCTCTCAGAAACAAGGATACGGAATGTAAGATAAGGCAATAAAAGCTCCTGTAGTGCATCCCTCCCACAGAGAGACAATGGCTGCTGTCCTTGCTGCTCCCAGGACCTTCACAGGGGATATTAGCCCAGCAGAGACCATTCTTCACAAGTGCAGAGGAGCACAGACACCTCAAGGCAGGTGGGAACCCAAATAAAGGACTCAGAGAAAGGAACTCCTTGCCTGGACCCTGTCCAGAGGTCTCCCAAGAGAGCCTCAGCCCCAGGGCTGAAGCCCACCAGAATGAGCCAATGCCACAGCACCTTTCAGACTGCCTGGTGGTGTGCTGTGGGACACATTATGGAATGCTGGGGAACTGCATTTTGGCATTGCAAAGGGCTTGTTATGAGATGCTGAGGTTCCAAAGGGTTTAGAACAAAGGGATTTTGGGAGGAACAAGTGTGAGACAATAGAGAGTTAAGTGGATAAAAAGGATCAGTTACATATAAATAGTTGCTGATTGATGCACTTGTCTGGCCATGCCCTGCACCCACTTAGTGCAACCTGTCTCCCTTTCTTGCTAAATTGCTGTCTGACTCTTTTCATAGATGAGAAGATCTTCAGGATCCATGTCTGTGTGTATGGGGGGTCGGAGTGCCAGCAACTGTAGGCATACCATGGGTCAGAGAACTCATGCATCCATGGTGAGGTGACTAGAGACCAGAGTAAGAGGACTGCAGTGCCAGCAACTGGGAGAAGACCACAGCTGTAGTGGTCCGTGTGTCTGTGGTGGAGCAGCTGGACTGGGGCCATGGATCAGGGGATCCTTGTGCCTGGGTACTGACATCTGAGGAGACCTGAGTGACACTTAGTGCTAGTTCCTGGGATAGGAAAGATTATCAAAGGCACACGTTCCCTGTGTACAACACCCAGAGAAAGAGGGTGTGTGAGTGCAGACAGAGATCCATCTGGATGAGCCAGCAAGTATGTGTAGCGACCTGGAACACAAGGGATGAGGGTCTCTGAAGACAAGATCACAGGAGAAGCAAGCTCCTACTGGAGGGAGCAAGGGAATCCCAGATAGCTGCTGGAGAAACCTTGGGGCCTGGGATGCCTCTTGGGCAGAGAGCTGCTGCGGGTGCATGTATGCCTCTAGGAGAGAGACCATGGGGACTTGGAGCTGGAGGAGCAGGGGAGTTCTGGCCAGCTCTAGGTGGAACTGTGTGGAGGATAGTGGGGTTTATGCATGTGAAAGAGATGTCAGTACCAACAGCTGGAGTGGGGCTGCAGACCTTATGTGGTCCTGTGTCTAGATGCTAGGCTAGAAGTCTGGGATCCAGGGGCAGGCTGAATGTCTGCACACAGCTGTGGAAGGAATCCACCTACGTATGTTCCCACCAGTGAACCTTTGTCCTGTTCAGCCAGAGAGGGAAACAGGATGAAGCTGTTGCTGGTGTTTGTGCAAATGCTCCACATGTCTGTGTTATCTATGTGGCTGGTCATCTCTGTTTCTTTGTGTATAATGTGGTGTATACATGAGCTCTGTGTGCTTGTGCCTATCAGGAATACATGAGCAGCACATCCTGGTTGGACCTGCGGGCATGGGGCTGCAGCAGCCTTAGCTATCTTGAGCTGTCATATCTGCCTGATTCCCCTGACATGCCATACTGTTCCTTTCAGACAAAATCACAGCGCCCACAACTGTTATTCCCATTCTCTGTGTGCTGGATACCTTTCAAAACAAAAGACATAGAGCTGCATTTGTCTGGAGTACTCTACTGTATTTTGTGACATGCTCTGAAAAACATTTACACATTTGCCTGCAAATTTACTACTGAATCTACACCTGTAAAACTGCTAGTCATAGTTGAAAATGTTATATTATTTTCTGTACAGAAATTAATCTTTCCACCTTTGTTCCTCTTGTTGGCCTGTGACTTAATGACCAGCTACCCCTGTTAATGATGTCTACCACAACCGTAATACACGCTGTGGTCTGTTATTGGTGTATAGTTTTAGTTGCACTTTATTGCTGAGTCTGACATGAAATACAAGTCTGAGTGTCTACAATGTGTGAGTTACTGACACTAATTCAATTTTCCAAATGGAATATGGAAACATTTTCCATATTGGGAATTAAATAGAGCTTATGCAAAGTACAATTGCATCCTACCTGAGGTTTCTGGAGCACAGGAAAGCACCTTCAAATAACCACATTTGGTTTTGCTACACATCTCCCCTCTTTTCAAAGAAGTATTTTTGTATATAAATAGACTACATTTGTCTATACTATATAAATATTTTAGTCATAAAATCATGGTGACTGCAGGTCAAACAGAAGATAGGTGACTAACATTAACATCTGGCTCCTTGGCCATGCTTCAGAGTACATCTGGTTCTCTGGAAGTGCTTCTGACATCTACAGGAATTACTGTAGACAGTAAGCAGAGGCAACTATACTAAAACCAGTGTCTGTGACATCTGCATATACCATAGAGGAGAGGCCAGCAAACTCTACAAAGTCCATAATGATAATCCAAAGGTATTAGGGAACCTCTCATGGGTATCAAACATGATTGGATACTGAAGGGGTCTATTAGACTAAAAAAGTGTGACACATGAGAAGCACAATATAAACAAACCAAACAAAATGTTAATCACTTCTCTATTCTTCAGTTTCTTTCAGAAAAATGCATTCTAGCAAACACTAAATCAAATTCCACTAGAAAGGAAGAAGTGAATGAGATCTTGGGAGTGGTTATCACCTGATTAGCATTTACAGCACTTGTGATACAAAAATCCATTTCCACATGGAAAACCAAAATGAACAAGTGTCAGCTAAGAAATTATTATCTCTGGGAATTATTAAGCAGCAGCATATGTCTTTAGTAACTTCACTTTCACAACACAGGGTGAAACAAATGTATTCCACACATTGTTATCCAATGGGATCTTCTACAGTTGCAGATTTTACCACCTAAATTCACATGGAATTTGGACTTTGATATTTTTAAAATCAGGAATTTGATGAGTAGGAATTGAAATTATCCATGCAGTTTTGTCCTTGAAGCTCAGAAAAATAGCATGCTGGTCATGGATACAGATGCCAGGTGTGAAGGTAACCAGTACAACTGATTCCGATCATATTTTAGTAAGCTTCAAATTGTTTAGTAATAAACATGACACTTGTAAATGACAAATTTACTTATACAGCTAGGTAGTGTACATAAAATTACAAACCAGCCACAAACCCACACAAAATAGTCACAAATGGTCACAAACCAGACGGAGAAGTTTCTTTCCAGTAAGAACAAAAAATGACTACAAAAACATTCCCAGAAATAAGAGGAAGCTTCTGGCTTATGATAAATATTTTAGTTAAGTAAGAAGATTAGATAACATAGGACTTCCCCTATGGCAAACAAAAAATGCTGTGTCAAAGCTAAAGGTTTATATTTGCTCTGTGTCGGTGCTTGGATTTTCAAAATTCACACATATATTCACACTTTTCCTGTTTTCAAAAGTCAAATAATAAACAATAAAAGTCTTTGAGGAAGTAACTAACTTTTTTCATTAACATAACATAATATGTAATACAATATCTTCATTAATAGAAGATATTAGAAACATGTATTTTTGCTGAACACTCCTTACCAAAGTAAAAGTTAAAAAAAATGAGCTATTGTCACAAGGTAAATATTGCCTATCATGAGGTTAAAAATGTCCTACAGTTACTCATGTTTACAGACAGTACACTTCTAGCATACTCAGATAAATATGCTATGTTAAAACAAGGAAATGGACTTGCTAAGTACTGTGAACATTTATTGCTTTCAAACTATTGATTTTGATTGATAGATTTTGGCATTTAATTTTGTAGCTAGTATTTCCAGTTCAATGGAATCAATCAGGCAGACTGATTCAGATACTTTCCTGACACTAATTCTACAGGCTATCTCCAGCATTATATGCTTCCTTCTTTATCCGTATTTTGAAACTGAAGCAAATAAAGAATTGTTTTACACCCAAATCATTATGGTAAAATTCAAACCGGTTCATCCAAGTGCACTAAGTATAAAGACAAGAGAAAGAATGCTTGCTTACTTTCAAGCATTTCTTCTGGCTCTTATTTTGTGTTCCTTTTTCTTTCTTGTCAAGTAAAAACCACATTTCACTTATACAAATAAACACAATTTGTTCATTGCCATAAATTATAACTATTTCCATTTTTAGTT